CGAGAGTGCAGCGAGAAGCTTATATATATATATTTATTTATATATATATATATATATATATCTCCCAGACCCGGTAGCAACGTCATTGTCTTCCTCACAGATGTCTTTGAAAAGGCGCTGACTGCAGGTTTCATTCAAGCAACGGATTACGTGGACATATGGCAGGCACACCTCGATTACCTGCGGAGACGTGTGGATTTCAGCAAAGGTGAGAGCAGTTCTGTGTGAAACACGAGTTATCTTTGTTGAGAAAGTTGGTTTGAGTTCACTCATTTGTTTTCAGAATCAAGCAAAGAGTTGGAGGAGCTGCGAGGAGCTTTCTCTCGATCTCTAGACTACATGAAGCAAGATGTTGAAGAAAGTAGGTGGATTTTAGTCGGACTGAGTTTTAGTTTTGTGGTATTCTTGGTTTGGTTTTCATTCAATTCATTGTGTTGTAGGATTTGGTGAAAGTGGAGATCCTTCTTGTATCATAATGCAGATCTGGGCGAGGATAGAGGTAAAAACCATTTCCACGAGTTGAAGTCCTCTGATGTTGAATTGTTTATTCGTTCTTTTGTGTTATTTTGACTGATATAAGTTATTATTGTCTTGTCAGTGAAATCATAAGGCAATGTGCTTGTCTTTTTTTAAACCTAGTAATATCTCAAGTATACAAGTACTCAATGATATACAAATTACCTTGAGGCATAATTACAACTTGCGGCCCATTGAGACGCGTGGTGAAGGACTACAGGACCAGTTACTAAACTATTGCATCGCTTTACTTTTCTCAAAATGTGACAGGTAGTTGAATTATACTATGAAGGATATTAGTTACATGTGTTCCACACTGTCACATGTGTAATGTGGAAACGGTCCTCATCTTTTCTTCCTCTTCTCCCCTCCAGGCCCTCCACTGCAAGAACATCCAGAAAGCCAGAGAGCTGTGGGACAGTATCATGACGAAGGGGAACGCCAAGTATGCCAACATGTGGCTGGAGTACTATAACCTCGAAAGGTACGTCGATCAATGTCTGAGTGGGGAAAAAAGATAATTGAAGTGATGTGCTGATATCTTTCAGCCAAAACTTGTGTGTCCTTGAGGTTTATTTATATATTACTGTATCTGTAGGTCTTATGGAGACCCTGTTCACTGTCGGAAAGCTCTCCACAGAGCAGTTCAGTGCACCGCAGACTACCCCGAGCATGTGAGTGAGGTCCTGCTCACATTTGAGAGGGTTGAAGGTGAGGGCCATTTCATAACATCAAGCATAACCTAAAAACAAAGAAGATTTTCATGAATGACAGTGCGTCTCTGTATTTTGCGTCCTCACCTGCAGGTTCTCTTGAGGACTGGGACGTGGCGGTGCAGAAGACGGAGACCCGGCTGAACAGGATTAATGTGCAACGAGCAAAGGTAGGAGCACCTATCAGCGTTGCACCAGACGAGTGTGTCATTCAATTGCTTTTGGCTGATGTTACCATGTTCCGCCCATCTGCTAGGTTGCTGAGAAAGAGGCCAACGTGGCTCGCCAGGAGGAGGAGAAATCTGATCAGCGGCGAAAGAACAAGGGAGACAAGAAGACTCAGAAGAAAGGCCAGAAGGGAACTCGAGCTGGGGAGAAGAGGAAAGCCGAGCAGGATGATTATGATCAGTGGAATGATAAATCTGGTAAATGAAGATGATTTGTATTATCAAACTTTTTATTTTAAAGCAAAAACATGAGAAATGATGCGTTTGCTGATGTTTCTTTCCCGTTTTATAACGGAACAAGCTACTAAACGGCACAGAGGACACGGAGACCAAACCACAGAAGAGCGCATGGAGACCGAGGCGGGACTCTTTGGGAGGAAGGCTCCCCCTGGCTATAAGCCTGCTGCGAGCGGCAATAAAAGAGGCCAGCAAGGAGATGCGGCCGCTGTCCAGAAACACAACGATGACGACGACAAGCCAGAGCTTCGCAACGACAACAGCAGCGTATTCATCAGCAACCTGGCATACACCCTGGAGGAGCCCGAGGCAAAGCTGAGGACGCTGTTTGAGACCTGCGGTCCCATCGCACAGATCCGCCCGGTGTTCGCCACCAAAGGGACCTTCAAGGGCTACGGCTACGTCCAGTTTGAATCCACGGTGTCCGTCGCCGAAGCCTTGAAGCTGGACAGACGGGAGGTGGAGGGCAGGCCCATGTTTGTGTCGCCTTGTGTAGACAAAAACAAAAACCCTGACTTTAAGGTAAATATCAACACAACATGTTTGTTTTCTATTATAACCTTAATTGTTTTTTCCATTTTATGCCACTTATCCTGGTTCACGCCTCAGTAATTTAATTATATCATTGGGAACTATTGTTGTATACATCTGGGAGGTAATGGAAAAACATTTCTAGATTATAATGTCACTACTGGTTTTTCCTCACACTTTGGCCAGTATAACAATAAACCAGTGTTAAATTTGAAATAAAAATGTCTTAAGTCTTAAATTGGTGAACTCTGCAGAAGTGACCACTTACCATTCATGTCTGCGTAGGTGTTTAAATACCAAACAGCCATGGAGAAACAAAAGATCTTCATCTCTGGGCTGCCGTTCTCGTGCAATAAAGAGCAACTGGAGGAACTCTGCAAAAGCCACGGCACCATCAAAGACATCCGTCTGGTCACGTATCGCTCAGGGAAACCCAAGGTGAGACATTAGGAGGAGGACGGTGTCCAGATGTTTGGCTAAGAATAGTCCTCCTGATCAAACTAACGATTACCACCTTTGACCATGCAGATGCTGATGTGTTAACCCTCTTCTTGCTGTGTGGCTCTGCAGGGTCTGGCATATGTTGAGTTTGCAGATGAAGCCCAGGCCTCTCAGGCAGTTCTGAAGATGGACGGCATGTGTGTCGGGGACAACACAATCGCTGTCGCCATAAGTAACCCTCCTCGCAGGAACCTGGATAAACCCGGTTCCAACAGGCCCATGATGGACATGCCTCGCCAGGTCTTTGGGGCGTAAGTTTACTGGCACGTTCATTCTCTTGACATGTTGTGAGAGTCTGCCATTCTGTGAGCAGTGACTGTACAGAAACAAGGCTGTTTTTTTTTTGTTTTTTTTTTCCCAGGAGAGGAAGAGGACGCACCCAGCTCTCTTTGCTCCCTCGTTCCCTGCACCGACAAAGTGGGCTCGTCAGCAAAGTGGAGAACGGGACTGCGGCTGAGCAGGTGCCAGCAGCCGGAGAGACGAAACCTTTGTCAAATTCAGACTTTGCCAAGATGCTTCTCAGCAAGTGAGGAGACGAGCGAGAGCATTTCACACTGAAAGCCATCTCGTGTCCTTAACAAATTAGTGTTTACTTTTCTGTGATTGGTTACCCGGCTTCCCTTTAACCTCAGTCTTGTTCTCATCATCCGCTCTGCGAGATTTGCCTTAATCGCCGAGCTCCTGCCCTCCATCAGGACGCCTTTTCAACCGAGACTCTTCCCCCAGTGTGACGGATTGTTTTCATTTGGCTTCTTTGAAGGTGTCTTGCCGGATATTTTCTTAAAAAAATAACTATCATATTTGTGTGTAAATAGACTGTATCTAAAATTGTTGCAAAGTGTCTTTTGTTGTGTAAGTGGGCGGGGCCTGAGAGAAGCAGACGGGGGAGTATTTTTTATATATAAATATTCTTAACAGCCAACTGTGTGAATGTTGTTTGAAGGTTATATGCAAAAGTCCAGATGTGGTGTAATATAGATGGTGTGTGTGTGTGTGTGTGTGTGTGTGTGTGTGTGTGTGTGTGTGTGTACACACACACACAGAAGATGCTCTACAGTCAGATGTTTTTAGGAAACCTAGGATTAAGTAACTTATTTTTGACCTCTGAGGACAAAGTTAACAAAGCTAGTATAGTACAACTCATAATTATTTTTACATAATCCAGTCCGTGATTTACCATCTGCTATTCATCTTCAGTGTTGTTATAAAATCTATAGTCCAGTATGAGTTAATTGGCTTTATCTTGACATGTTACTACAGTAGAGAACTGTCCTAATGTATCACACTGCTAACGCTGGATATCAGTTATATTTACAGAGCTGCTCGAATTTACTTTCTCTTGTTTCGTACATCACTGTTAGCGTGACCTGTCTGTTCAGGGTAACAACATCTTCAAGTCATTTATATAGTTTTGTATATAAGTCTGATTTATGTGCTTTGTAAGAGAGATTCAGAGTGAAGTGAACCAGATTCCTGCACCGTGTGAAACTCAGGCAGGCTGTTGATGAGGCTGAAGAAATGTGTCTGATTGGCTGCTTTGGCGGCTGCTTGCTCAACAGTCGAGGCGATTCGTCAAACAGCAGAATATTTACGGGCAGTTTCCAGCATCTCGATTGTTTCCCTCTTACATTTTGTTAGAATGTATTTGGGTTGAAGACTCACGATAGGACCACATTTACATTTGATGACGTCATCTTAGGCCCGAGGAAACTGTGATGAGCATGTTCCACAGTTTTCTCAAGTTTTGTAGAAGAAACAATTAAGAAATTAATCAATAATTTTAAAAAAAAGTTGTACTTGCAGGAGTCAATTAGGAGGCATGAATTAGTTTAGTTTAAAAGGGTTAAGATATAATTACGAATGCTAGGAAGTACATGTGAAACTGTTGTAAAAGTGAATCTGTAGAACGTGGAAGCTAAGTGCAGTTTCAGAAATATGATTTTCTTTGTAATCGGAGTTGATTTCACCCTCAGAGTGAACATAATGCAGTTTTTTCTGCTTTTGTTAGAAGTCGACCAGTTGTCCACTTTTCATGTTTAGATATTAACAATTGTTTGTGTACACAATGTTTAGTATATTCATTTCAAAAAGGTCACCATCATTTGTAATAAAAATAAATGACGTTTTCAAAAGCGATGGAATAGAAGATATATGTATTAATCTCACCACAGTGGCCTAATGTGAAATACATATCTGTGGTCTCTGAAGTCACTTTCCGTTTAGTGTCGAGATTAAAAGACGGTTTGTGTGCATTGCTCCTGTTTTATATAAGATATAGTCAACGTTTTGAATTTGGTATAGAGGTAAATACTAAATAGACCTTTGTTTGGTGTTCAATCACTATTTATTTTCCTGCTTATTTCATTATCTTCCATTTTCTACCCTTGTGTTTTGAGTTTCTGTAAAAAAGGGGGAAAAAAATTTCTTTTTGGTCTAAAACTTGTTTTAATAAAGTCATGTAAATCATCTTTGTTCCCAATATGACAAGTTTGTCAGTTGTAAAACAGTTTTATTAGAACACTTAATTTAAAATAAATATTCATATACATAAAGAAATGCTTTACAGTGTTACAAGACATCACCTTCATCCCAAAAGTAGATAATCAACTGAATGTTTACACACACACACACACTTCACCGCACTGAAGCATCTCAAGTCAAATGACCAGAAGTCAAACTTCAGACGGTAATAGAAATCCATCATCACTCCTATGGGGATATGGTTACACACTAAATGTGGGAAAACAGCTAAATCGATTCAACATCCTGGAGAATCCCAATGAAATGAGCAAGTCCACGACCCAAACTGAAGCAACGGGTGATAAGGGACAAAGGACGAGGCGATTCAAAATCCAATAAGATGCTTCTAGATTCTCCTCTCGTCTCCAGCTCAGTTGTGAATCGGGATGGTCTGTTTGCAGTCGGGGCAGGCGTGGTCCTGGCTGGTCCCCGGCAGCCCCACAGCATGCTCCGTTGTAGAAATCAGCAATGTGTCCAGTGTCATCTCTGTACATTTGGCTATGAAGCGAATGAACGGCCGTACGTCCCCCTCGTTGGCCGTGTCCAGAGCCGCGTAATACTCAGCCCTTTGCTCTTTGCGGATAGTGACCGGTGGGTATCGCGCTTGCATGAGCACAAGATTCATGAGCAGCCGCGATGTGCGTCCGTTTCCGTCCACGAACGGGTGCACGTAGACCAGTTTGTAGTGGGCGATGGCTGCGTACTCCACAGGGTGCATTTGCAGGGCCTCCTCGGTGTTGAGCCACTGCACCAGCTCCTGCATGTGTCTCTGCAGGTCCTGAGGGTGTGGAGGGATGTGGTGGCCCACAAACACCTGGCTAGTGCGCAGCCTCCCTCCCTCCACGGGGTCCACATGCCCGAGCACCCGCCGGTGGATCTCCAGGATGTCACTGACAGTCATGGTCCCTGTTCTGGACAACAGCGTGGTGTTGATGTACTTCATGGCTGAATCCACGCCGATGGCCTCGTTCTGCTCCTGCAGGCTCTTCCCGGGGACCGCGTAACGAGTCTCGATGATGTGACGGATCTCGGACAGAGTGAGCGTGCTGCCTTCGATGGCCACCGTGTGGTAGATGTGGTGGTAGTAGGTTTCCTCCATCACCCTGCGGAGCGCAGAGTTGCCTTTAGGTATGGACATGAGCCGGCGAACTTTACTGTCAATGATGCTGAAGTAACGCTGGTCTATCTCCTCCACCAGGGGAAGAGTTCGGTCCCGGCTGACCAGAGCTCTCTCGTTGCATGGCGAGATGGCCAAGGCCTTGGTGTAGAGGTGGTCTGCCTGGACGACATCCTTCTCCTCCTCCAGAATGGTCCCCAGCTCCGTTAGGGCATCCACAAAGTCCGGGTTCATGCTGAGTGCATGCACCAGCAGCTTGTGAGCCTTCTCCCTCTTCCCCTGTTTCCTCATCTCAAGAGCCAGCTGCAGTGCCGCTTTGGCCTCCAGCTTCATCTCTGCAACCAGAACACGAAGGACAGCGTCAATGCCAACACACGTGAAACAGTAGAGAGGTAATATAGTGATCATGTTGTATCACATAACATAATCTCGTCTTAAATATCCAGTACTGAGGTGGACTGTGGATGAATGAGTACACCAATGGTGTTTGTACCTTTGCTCGGCTTGGACCTCAGAGGCAGCACATCCAGCGCTGTGAAGGGGACAGTGAGGCTGGTGGACTGCACAGCTGGAGGCTGCTCAGAGTTTCCCCACAGCTGGCAGCGGAGCTGCGCGAAGCCCTTCAGGGCGGCGCAGCACTGGTCCTCCTGCCCCACCAGGGGCATCAGGACGGCCACTAGAGAGCCGAGGAGGACACACAGCAGCGGGCCCCATCCTCCGAGGAAACGGCCGCTGGTGTAACGACACACCTTCACAGCAGCCATGACAAGCCCCGGTCAAAACCTCCATCTTCTAGTGATACGGTTCCCCATGTATTTCCACCCCAGCTAGGAGAGCTGAGGACCGGCTGACAGGAAGGAAGACATGGTCAACATGACTTACCAACACTGTGGAGGAGATTCAGCTCAGTTACCCAACTTTTACAGCTCGTGAGTGAGCTAGCGTTAGCTCAACTGAACTCTTTGTCACTTGTATGTGACTCTTAGCTGAAACTCTAAAACGCCGACTAAATTAACGATTAGCAGGCGGCTGACTTGTTCTCGTTCGTCGGCACAGTTATGTACTAAATATGGACACATTCAACATCATCGACTTCTTCGGTCTGAACATCTGAACATCCTGGAATATCATTGGTCAAAACATATTGAAGGGTGGCGCTGATTGGCTGAAAATGCAGCAATACAACAAATCGTTCGTAAAGGTCTCTGATTGGCTAGAGACATAAAGTGATTCCCTAAGTTTAGGCTTTCAGGCAACGCTGACACCAAGGCAACAAAATGTTGTGTCTCCTTCAACTCCAGCGTTTCTGCTGAGTGCTGACTAAATATGTCAGGTGGCCCACCATGTTGGGTTGTTCTCAATTTTAACAGGCAGCACAATTACATCAGAATAAACAGGTGGTGCAAATACTTATGGAGCTGGCCTATTTTAGGGCTAATATTTACTTTAACCACAGTTATTAGGCGAGCCAATGGTACCAATTTGACACTTCTTGCACTTCATCTGGTCATCACAGGACGCCATTCAATCCCACCTCCCATGACATGCAAGCAGGTATTTATTGGATACAGAAAATAAACTGATCTGCATTTTATTTGGCTTATCATAGTTTTCTTGTCAGTAGGTATTAAAGGAAAGGACGAAATCCATATTAAAACAGGTATTGGGCCTTGGTGGCATTGTCCGCCAACATTATTCACTTTCTAGGAGTGAGAAGTTAAAAAATGGGTTGTTTGCACTACTTTTACTTCATTTGCATTAAGGAACTGAATACAAAGTTGGTTTTGCCATGCTAAGTTTAATTACTCAGTATTCTTTGATTATGCAGATAAAGCTTTGCTCCCAGTTGACCTCCCGCTTTCATTTTAATATAAATATACTAACAAACAGAAGAGGGCAGCATTGCTCTGTTATTCAAACAGCCAGCATATCCTCTGAAGACTGCAGTAGCACTCTTGGCCTCAAAACCACTTTCATCAAGATTTCTTCTTATGCAATCCAGTTTGTGAATGGCATCAAATTTAATCTATACTTTTATGAAGCTTTGTGCGGAGATTAACATCTTCCTGCTCAGCTTCATGTGCTTCTTCTTTCTATCAACATTTGGTAATCTTTCAGTTCTATTTATATTTGTCCTTCGTGTCATTGGTATTCAGTTATGTTCGCTTTCATGAATTTTTATTTAAACATTTATACTTTTATATACGTCGTCTATTTATAGTGAATATGCCTTTGGGACTTTTCCACCAGCTGGGAACAGCCTGTGGTGATGAGGATTGATTCCTGGCTTCGTGCCAGAGCCAACACTATTATACATATCTTCAGCAGATGGCAGGCTAGCTGATAGTCACACAGGCTGAGACTGCAGCAACATGCTGACACACACACAGACACAGACAGTGCAGAGGAAGTTATGAATGAACAACCATGTGGATGATTTTGTGTGAAGTTAAAGATTTAGTAGGTCTGTCTGAAATGTGGGGGGGTTAAATTTGTCAAGTCATGTTGCACACTGTAGTCACAGTGAGCTGTGGAGCCGCGCACTAACCTCATTTACCACCACAGAGTCCCACTGTGCTGCTCTGACCCACAGCAATTTCACCTTGGAGGATAATGGAGCAGCCATGCTGCATTATTTCTTTACTGTTATTCATGTGCTCTCTCACCCAACTCTCAAAGCAAAGAGGGGGTTGTAGCGAGTATGTTTGCATTCATTTCTCATTCAATGAAAGAAAGTAAGAAACCAAGTGGGGATATTTAATCAACATGCTGCCAATGATTAACTGAAGAGGGACGACTTACAGTTGCCTGTGGGATACTGGCTCTGAATTTCGAGTATCTTTTGCTTAAATTAGTCTCAGTGCTGTATAATTTTGCCATTGCACCAAGACGCTTTTATTATTACTCTTTGGCTTGGAAGCAGCTTTCACTCCATAATGCATAAAACCATGCAGGCCCACAACTGCTGCGTGCAATGAGAAAAAAACAAACTGTTTGTGTTTTTTCTATTACAACAAAAATGAGCAGAACACCAAATTGTCTCCCAGATCTTCCACTTCCTGAAGACTTATTCCGTAATGAATAATAGTAAAAGCCGTATTTATGGTTTTTACGCAATGTGTCAGCAGTGAACAGTGTCACTGATAACAAAACCACACATCTTTATAAATATATTCAAAAATGTTTTTATGCAGATAACATGGTCAGAGGGCGTCAGTATATGAGTATGTATTACTGGTTATTTTAATGATCTAAAACTACAGATAACGTAAAAAATCTGAAAAGTAACAGACAATGCAGAGAGAAGGACATATACAGTGGGCAATATGAGAACACTTCTCATGTCAAAAGACTAATTCAGTCCTGCTGCAGTGAGACCATTAATGATGGGGGAAGGAGTCCACTTTTCTGGGGGATGGTCTAATCATCCACTTCAAACTCTGACCCCCAGAACCTCACAGAAAGGGTTCGATCGCGTATCTCAGATCAGGTATCTGGGGAGCCTACGAAGGTTCTGGCTTCATTTTGGTGTTCAGTGTTGATGTGAGCATTAGCTTCTTATAATATAGTGTCATGCAGAAAATGTGCTGACTAAAATGCAGAAGTGCTCTCTGAGGAAGTCAGCAGTCTTGCAAGGTTGGCCATGAGGAGCACTTCAGAGCCTGTAAAAGATTGTATCAGGTTTTCTGTGTGTTTTCTGGAGGAGCTTTGTCAAATCTGAGAAAATAACCCAGACGATGTCATCAGAGCTATCCCATCTTTGAAAGAACATTTGAAGGTGCCCTCTGTTGTATTATGGGAAACATAGGACTGTTGTTGTGGTTTAGCCCAAAGGCTACTCCAAGTCATGATATCTCAGCCTCTTCTGCTTGGACAATTGACAATTTATTTTGAACCCAACTCATTAAAAAGGGCCATTTAAAAAAAATGAGTTGCCGTTTTGAGACTGATTATGTATCTTCAGATCAGGCTGTGACTTTTAGATCTTTTTGGAATTGTTTTACTTGCTTTGTGTTTTGAAAAAGTTAATTTCCATTTAGCTTAACAAGGTTTCCTGTGAAGCTGACTTTGTGTTTGTGATCTAGTTTCTTCAAAGTGAAAACCACCTTTTTATTTTGGTCTCACCAAAGTGAGGAGGAAATGAATTAAGATCTGTTTTCTTTAAACTGAGGGTTAACATTGACACTAAACTAGCTTGGGACATCAATTCTGTTATCTGGCTGCAGTCTAGTTGCTTAAACCACAGACGGGCATAAAAGCAGTGATATCTTTGCCACTTCTCAAAATGCTGCCGCAGCTGAGTTTCGACTCGGCTTTAGTTGAGAAAAAGAACAAAAATGGCAGAATGGGCGACTGAAGAAGGAGAAATGATGGCATGAAATGAACGGCCCTCGGGTCATTTTGTGGACTAAATCTATGCCCATCTGGCATATGCTCATATGAGCTAAAGCCCCCTCAGCTGTGGAAACAGATAAAACTGAGTCTGCAGTGATGATGAGTGCTAATTCCGCTTTTGCCGTGTTTATGCAATTAAATGCCTCGTGTCACTTTGTGATTATTGTCAGAATGAAGCAGTCTTGTGAAAAGTTAGGCGTCTGTTATCTGTAATGCATTCCTGCGGTGTGCTTTTATCTTCCTTATCAGTGTTGTTAAATGACTGTGATGCATGGAACATGAATTACACGCTTTCTCATTAAGGCTGTGTGAGGAAAAAAACAACAACAGTTGTTTCCACTGAATATTTTTCAGAGTATGCAAATGAGTAGGTTGCTTCATGCATCAGCATGATCCTCACACCAGCTGACATGTTAAACTTGAAGCACACTCAAGAGATGGCCCGCCGCTGACTGTTAAAATGACACCCTGTCTTTTTATTACTTGCTGGAACTGTGCTTCAAGAGGTAGAAAATCCATCTGCCCACCTAGAAAAAATGACCTGTTAGGGCAGGAGATAAATCCCTCTGGCAGAGGCTCCTCGCCCCCTCCCATACCGGCTCGTGCTCTTCTCTCCAGCCTCGGTGGAGCCATCAGCCTGCTTGCCTTTCTGTCTCAGAATGGGCTTTGTTCTGGGTGACAGAGCTGGGTGTCCAAGATAGAGGATCTTGTTAGAGGAATGGTGTCTCTCTTTCCACCCTCTGAGTATGGATGGCTCAGAAAGCAGGGATGAGGGAGCCGTAAAATGGATGACAGAGTGAAGGAGAGCGACACCGGGAGCAACAACTGTCCTTGACTGTCACCATACAAAATATCTAAAAGGAGAGTTTGCTCCAGAATGCAAGATCCACACACGCATTGGCAGACTGATAGGTGCTGTTACAAGACGATTTGGGAGGTCAGGACATCTGTTTTTGACTGGTGACAAGAGAGCCGAGGACAGGCTATCCGGGAAGAAATCAGAGCGTTTAAAACACCTGCAACAAAATAACCAGTGCACACGCTCTAAATCCCTGTTTCACAACAACAGAAATCTGATGTTTCCTCCATCTCGCTCTTTCCTCCTGTGCATGCTGAGACTCCCCTCTGCTGTCGTTAGAGCAGGTCAGAGGAAAGCGAAGAGACGTGGTAGCCTCCCCAGGTGTCAAACAGGTAATTACTGGAGCTCTGTCCTAACTGTTTTCCTGCACTGGGAGAACGACCACCAGGTGTCAATATCCACATATTCAGTATAATCAACAAATGTTTGCCGTCGCTACACACTTTAAATAAAGCTGAATATCTTCGCTACACTCCACCCAATAAAATACATCAAAACCAAACATATGACATACAAACAATGACAGTAAGAAAATAATTACAAATCACTTTTTTTTTGCAATCAACAATGCAACAAAGTTAAATACTACTAATTTAGCTCATTTGTTTTGTAAAAATAACTGTTTCTGATAGATTCTTGAGACACATACTTTTTTTTGCATTGGTCATAAGGTAATGTAATGTTACATCTAGTTGGAGATCCATTGCTGTTAAAATATGACGCTTTAGCAGCCTGAATCATCCATATTAGGTAGAATGATGAACATTTTTTGGATTTTTCCTTATAGCTAAGTCTTACATATTATATATATATTTAAGTTCTGAAAAGTAAAAGGCTTT